CGGCTCCCGCGCGGGGCCGAAGCTCAACCCTTCTCTCATCCTTTTAAGCATTTCCGAGTCGTTCTTCCATTGCCTCCCAGTGCTGGAGGAGCTTTCGGGCTCGCCGTCTTTGATCTGCCGGTTGTAATCCCCGGAGGTCATGTAAGAAGGCCGTGCACATCTGGATGGGTGTGAGTGCCGGTGCTGTGGGGGGCTCTGATGCCTTCTTCGGCTCCTTGTATTCTTCCAGGTCGATGATCTGGTGGTTATCCGCTGCACGGAGCACCCACTTCTTAGGTGTCCTCGGCTCCTTCGCGGGGCCGTCAATTTGTTGCTGGCCGTCATCAAAGGCCGTCTCATCTGTCCGTTGCCTTTTCGAGGCAGGAGGCACCACGGTCTCATCCTCCGTCTCGCTCCATTCCAGGAGCTCGGCTGCCCCTCTGGGAAGACGGTGTCGGTGGAGGGGTTCTGGGACCTCAAGGGCCGCCGGTCGTGATGGCCACCATAGCATATGCTCCTACTGACTGCTGATTGGCAGCGAAGAGCTGCACTAAAGGCCGATGGTGGCACCTTTTCAGGGCAAGGGATGGCTGCTGTCATGGCACTTAGCTCATGCACTGCAGCTTGTGCGTTCCTGCTTTCATGGAAATCCATGCAGCAGATTGTGCAACTGAGGTACATCCAGATGCAAATGTGCAAAAGTTTTGGTGTCCGGCGTAATGGCGCGCCCCCCGCCATCTTCCCACCTGCGGAAGTGCATGCGTTGGTAGCATGTGTAGGTCCTTCCCCCGTGGGGGGCCCGGGGGAAACCTTCACCTCACCCTTCCCGTGGAATGAAGTTGTGTTCATGTCGGCGTAGGAAGGGCCGGCGGACTTAGGACCGCCGCGGTGACTGAGGAATTTCTGATATACGTCGTGAATTCGGAGGGGTGTATGGAGAGGTCTGCGTTTGTACTTTCCCTTAATGCGTCTGTGCGTTATCCACTTGTTGCCCTGCTTAGGGTCTGTCCAGTATCGGATCATTAGTGAAAACGCAGTGCACCACCCCAGCAAAATCCCTCTAAGCCAATCCTCCTTAGATCCCCTAGATTCAGGCAGATACTGATCGTCTTCCACTGAGGGGCTGGCAGTCTCGGCTCCCCAGCAGGGCCGTGCGTGTAGGATGACTGCCTGCGGCCGGCTGGTATGCTCCGGGGGCACTGATGTGGAGATAGACTGGGATCTGGCTAAGAGAGTGTGCATGTGGTGGCATTCACGCATGTGAGTTGTCGGACAGTGCCTAGCCTGCTCAGCATATCTAATACGCTGATCGCTGCGATTCTGGGTCCTGGTGTTAATCCTAGGCTGCCCTACGCCTATACCGGCACCCTGATTTTCACCAGCCGCGAAGGAATCGATTGCCACTTCGGCACTCCCTGTGGGGGCCGTCGGAGAGGAGAAAAGGGGTGTGCCGCCCATGTCAGTCGGCAAATCCCGGCTCATGATTAGGCGTATGTGGGAGGAGCCCTGGATGTCGCACCATTGATAGCGCTGTCTGTCTCTGACATCGACAATCCAGCGGATGTCCCCTAAACTGATGCCATGTGCTTGCAGAAGGGGACTGCATGCCAACTCGATGGCCGAGGCAAAACCGTCTTGTCTGACTTGCACCCCGTAGCGATGCCCTGGTTCTCGTAAGATCTCGGTGAGGACACCGTTAATGTCATCACGTCGAGTAGGACTGTCCGGTGATGCATCCGTCCTGGAGGTGATTGTCGGGTCTCGGGCTGATCTGCGGGCCGGAGTACGGCTCCTGTCCAGTGCGCTGCCCTCTGTGTGCGTCTGCACGTTGTCGTGGTCCGGAGGCTCTGTGATAGGAGTGCTGGAGGATGAGGACGTCTGGGCACGCTGGGCCGAACTTCGGCTCCTGCTAGTGGCTGGAGCCAACTCCTTCCTTTGCCCTTCATCGCCCGGCGTCTTCCTTGACCCTGTGGGAGTGCTGACGGGATCCGCATCCAGGAGTGTCCACGGCCACCCCTCTGGCGTGTCGGGTTCCCGGGTTCTCTCTGCTGGCATCCTTTGGGCCGAGGCGTCCCGCTGAATGGTCCGGCTAATCGGCTCCCACGGCTGCCATCTCTGTGTCCACGTTGTTCACGACGTCGGGCCAGCTCATTGCGTGTCCGCCTCCTCTCACCATTGGGCCGGACCCGTGCCCGAGGATGTCTGCGCGGGCTGCGCGGGCTGTTTGCCATCTTGAGCCTAGTCCTTGCATTATCCCTGTTTTGGGCTAACGGGGTTGAAGATGAAACGAGTATGCTTATGGCGTGTCGCCTCCTCCTGTTCCCACCGGGTCTAGGGGCCTCTTTATGCAACCTTCTATGGTCAAGTGAGTGCCAAAGTGAGGTGAGCACTGACAGCATAGGGCAGGGTATGCTCGGTCTCATGCGATGCGCGCGCCCTGGAGGTCTCCACTCGGGGTCCACGCGCCTGCGAGGCCGAAGATGTCCAGGCAGCGTCTGCACAAATGGGATGTGGCTCGGAGGCATCGTTGACCTGAGGGCAAGATCTCACTGTGGGAATGCGAGTGTCTGATAATGGGCACTCTATGTGGATGATCAATGTGTCACACGGTCCATGCAATGCAGGCACACTCGACATGTATTGAACAGCTGGCATTGACTCCATTGCGTTGCACAATCGGCTCGCCTCAAGGGGACAGGTACGGCATGAGCGCCTGAAAAAATTCTGGCCAATGCGTCTTCCACTGCAGCTGGAGGTACAGTGCCCTGGGCAAATTCTGCAGCCCATCGTGCAAGTGGCTGGCGAGGCGGGAAACGCTGGCAAGGATATCCAGCTCAGCCTGGCCTTGTGTCGTCCATAGGGAGTGCATCCAGGATTCAACGAGATCCCCTCCTGTTTGCCAGCTCTGCACCTGTCCGAGCTTGTCGTGCGTCAGCAGGGCACCGACCAGTGACCATATCCATCGGCCAACGTTGTCCGTGAGGAGCGGGCTGTCGATGTGCTGGCCCCGGATGTCGAAGGCTTCTCCCAGCTGAGCTTTGTGGTATAGGTCGTGCCTGAACTTGTAGTGTCCCTGCATCTGGAAGGCCGTGAGGCGCGCCCCCGGGTTGCTGGGCAAGAGCTCTCCCAGAAGCTGCTTTGCTTTGCCCAGGTGCAGCCTTGCCGCGGCGTTGAGTCCCTGGTGCGGCGGCACCCTCTCGGGGCCGATTGTCTGGGCCCTCCTGACTGCACCACGTGCTTCGCTTCCTCTTCTTGCACCACAGACCTCTCCGATTGTCTCCTCAATCGGGTGTTCGTCCGCCTTCATTGCAACGCTCAGCAACGGTAGCCCCTGAGGTACGTAGTGGCCTGGCTTCTCGTCGTCGCTGGTCTGTGTGGCACGGTCACACATCCACGGTTGTGCCTGTACAGCGGCATGCTGTTGTGCTGGGATCAACTCCTTCTCGTCGGTGGTTGTCGCCGATGCCACTGGGTCGGCTGTCGGGGCCCGAACCTCGGTCGCCACGTCAGGTGTAGTGCTTTCCGCGACTGGATTGAGTTTAGGGGCCGGTGCATCGGCCTCCTCTGTGAGTGGCTTGCCTTGGTCTTGAGCCTGGATCCTCACAGCCTGGGCCGAGGATGATGAGGTGTCATCATTCACGGTGCGTGGCTGCCAGCCGCCCTGCGATTCCACCTCCTCAGAGTACCATTCGGCACGCTCGGTCCACGAATTCCAGCCATGCCACCACCCTGTCAGCTCCACCTCTCCATGTCGCCGCTCATTGTGGCTTTCCCACGACTGCCAGCCCCGTTGCCTCAGCTCCGTAGCCGTTCGGCGGTGGCGACCATCTGCTCGGTAGTGCGAGCGTGGGTTCTCCCTGGGAGGGAGACCTCTCTCGGCTCTCGTGGTTTGCCTCATTTGAGCCCGTGGTCTGGAGGTGGAGATGCTCATGCAGGCAATGCTCACTTGCGGCTCTGTACGCTCTTGTGAAATGAGAGATGCAAGCAGACTGCAGATTGAGTGTCCTGCCCGGGAGCAGAGGTCTGCATGTGGTGGGGCCGGAAGCGGCTCCCCTGCGTCAAGCAGCGGCTTGAATGCCCTATGGCTATTCGGCTGACAACTGCACTCTCCCAGATGGCTCTTACTCTCCCTTGCATCAGACCGACAGCAGCTACGCACAGTGAAAGTCATGTATGGAGCGTCACATTCCGCATGCCAGCATTGCCTACACATCACTCTCACAGACTGTTCAGCACCTAGGATCGTTACCTTGTGTCGAGCAAGACCAAACAACTGTGCTGGCTCTGAGGTCCCGACCGGAGATGCATCACGGATCCACTGCGGGCAGATCTCTGCAGCCGCTGTCAGCCGAGCTTTCAGGGTCAGTTCCAGAGGCTGCGAGTGCTGCACAGGCCAGTGGATCCCTAAGGTGGCATTTGCTGGCAGAGGGTGATGCGTGGCGTCCCTGCAACGGCCTACCCCATGCCCGGGGGCCGTATGATGTTCAGGCAGTGTACCCAACACACACACCGATGGGGAAGTACCGAGTGACTTTTCAGGGTGTCTAGCTGAGCTCTGGTCTTGCACGGTCTCTTGGGTCCCGACTGGAGGTGCTTCATGGGTCCATTGCATGCAGGTCTCTGCAGCCACTGTCATGCATTCTGTCGAAGACTGCTTGGGAGGCTGCGAGTGCTGCATGGACCAGTTGATCCCTAAGGTGGCGTTTGCTGACCGAGGCCCTTGCGTGGTGTCCTGGCATCGGCTGTCCCAGCTCGCCGGGGCCGGTTGGTGCTCTGGCAGGGTCTCCCACATGGGCAGCAGGGCACACATCCAAACAAGCATGCATCTTGTTATGCACTGACGTGGCCCCTTTGCATGCTGCCCCCTCAAAAATCTCTCTCTCTGTCTTGGCACTGCCCAAGGAAAGTGGGTGCTGTGTCTCAGCACCGAGCCAATCCATGGCATGAAAACTACGTCCTCTCTCACCTGTGTGAAGAGAGGCACAAAAACAGACTACCCCCTCCCCCCCTCCCGACTCACGCTACAAACAAATTTGAGCCGGAGGCTTGGATGCTGCATCTGCAACGTTGCTCTTGGAGGGCACCCAGCAAACCCAAGTCAAGCAACCCAGCCGGACATCAAGCTCGAAAATGTCGGCCAGAACCTTTGAAGCATCAACCAAAGGTGAGTATCCCCGACTCAGAGCTGACTTCGCTGCTTGGTTGTCTACGAAGAGCAATACACGACGATTCCGAAGCCTGTCCGCCCAAGTTCTTTTGGCGACAAGCACCGGGAAGAGCTCCGCAAAGAAGATCAGTTGTCTGCGACCAGACTGTCGCCACCCGGTGACGACGTCGTCCGGAACTCTATCTCCGAACACCTCCTTGAGCCCAGTGGCCTGATCGACGACCACCGCGCCATGTGTGACAAGGTCGGATTCGTGCGCTCCATCCGAAAAGATGACGATCGGAGGCTGCTCCGACCACAAAGATATCCTCCTCGGGCCGGCTTCCTTCAACGTGCCTATGGCCAACCGAATAGCACGACACAAAGACTCGAAGTCAGCCGACTTTGACCCGCAGCTCTCATAATGCCGGATCAGTTGGGTTGCAATCTGAGCACACTTCCCAAAGACGTGTCCCGCCGCATACAGAAGCTTGCCCTTCAGCGACGACAGCACATCGACTCCCTTTGGGCCGCGAGCCTCCAAATCTTTAGCTAACTTCTCGATGTCTTCAATCCTCCCCGGCTTGTTCGAGACGTTGACAAAACCTTTGGGAAGCTCATCGAAGGAGATCGTAGCACCAAGCATGTTGAAGGTAGAGGAAAATTTCTTAAGCTTATCACCCGTAGACACTTGCCACCCGAGTAAGCTCATCAGCTCCAACGCAGAAGAATCAGCCGACTCAGCAAGAGGCGCAACCTCCATTTGGCAATAGTCATCGAAAAAGCTTGTATTGGTCAGAAACAGCAAGCGACTCATAATCATTCGCAAAGCTCGTCCAGCTCTATTAAAGCCTGTGACAGCGCTCGTTGCTCCAAACGGTAGTGCCAGCGATTCAAAGTAGAGCACCTTGTCCGACTCCACGTCCAAGACCGCTAGCACACCTGCTCGTAACGGTTCCTTTGGACGAAGACGGAAGTCTGAAGGAATCTACCCCCGTGCCACAATGGCACCACCAAAATACCGGGCTAGACAAGTAATCTCATCGATACCTTCAAGCAAGATCTTCTCGGTCTCGGTCACCGTCGCATTGACCAAGAACTCGCTCAGGTCATCTACAGCTCTCACCTTATCGCCTTGAACGACGCCGAACCTTTCGAAGGAATCCAGGTGCCGCCATGGCGTTCATCCATCTGCTTCCACGTAAAAGGGCCCCGCAACCAACCTTTGTCGACTTGGTCCAGGGATTCAGCGCACACCTAGATGGGAATTGCCCCGACGATCTCAACTCACCTGTAACCCAAGCCACTTGCCATATCTGAAGAGGAACTCGTCAAGAAGATTCTTTGACTCCATCACACTTCGAGTATCCGGGTGCATTGAATCCTTCAAGTTTTTCTCCTCCTCAGCGAGTTCCAGCTTTCTCTTCGAGTAGTACTCCAAGACTTATTTCCGACGGAGAGCTGTTGCCTCCACGCAAGCGTGAAGGCAATGGCTCGAAGGTTTGGCCGATCAATGCACACTGGAGTATCGAAGGGATGAACCGTTTGCAAAGCTTTGTCGAGGAATGCTTCGGGCTCTCATATTCACACTTCTTAACCCAACAATCCCCCTTCAGCACCGCTCTGACCACAACATGGGCAGCCGAGGTCTTCGCATGTTGCCTACACACTGCTAAGCTTGTCATTTTGGAGAATCCCGCCAATTCATGGCTCTAGCAAACAAAATGGTTCAAACCACTGCGCCCTAAAGCTCCTTGGCAGGTCCTTCATAACTGTATGTACGGCTCTATGCGGCGAAAGCAAACAGGATTGCTCTCGTCCATTCCACTGCCGGGCATAACTCACGTGCAGTGGCAAGCATAGTCACCTTGCCTAGGATGTCCAAAACACCAAGCAGGGGTGGAGCGTGGTTTCGCCTTTCATCACGATTTTTTTTTTTGGACTGGCGCCCCTTTACTATCAGTAGCACAGTAGGCCGGTCTTGTTGGGCTCGACGTAACGTGTGAAAACACAGCAGCAGCGCGCTGAACCCTCTTTTTCTCACGACTTGAGCCAAAGTCATAAGCCGGAGGCTTCGTCAGTGAAACTCTTTACACACAGGTGAAAACTCTGCTCTGCCACGTGTTCTCCACAGCCACAAAACAAACTCAAACGTCAGTGGGAGTTCTCGGGACCTACCCAACTACACCTAAAGCAAGCAAAAACGTGCACAGTCACTTCTACAGCTTCCAGACACGCATCCCTACAACTCAAGCACTTCAAAAGGCTTTCCCACTTAAAGCAGCACTCCCGTCGAGCCTCCAAGGCACAACTACGGAGTTCCTACAACTACACACACGCAACTCTGAGCCAGCATGCAGGACAACAAAGTTAACATGTCCTTAGACAGGAACTTTCGTCTGCACGCTGCATGGCGTAGCCACCCGAAGGGGCTGAGGTAAGAGGGTGAAACTAAAAACTCTGCACAGTGAGACTACTGGTACTAGCCCTCACTTCCCTCAGACATTTGTCGAGGCCGAAGTCCATTCCCTCAGACCGTGGTCGAGGCCGAAATTCCCTCAGGACATGCCGAGGCCGAATTTCCCTCATTTATCCGCACCCCTCAGACCGCAGTCGAGGCCGAGTCCCCTCAGGCAAGCATGCCGAGGCGTGTACTCCCTTGAGTTGGTTCTGGGTGCTTCTCAGACCACAGGCCGTGTTACCTGTCTGGAGCTGCGCTGCTCACTCATCTGCTTCATCATACGGCATGCCCAAAGTGATTTTCTGGACCTCTTCTGCCGGCACTGCAAGCAGGGTTCCGTCCCATCCTCGTTTTGCAATCCCGGCATCAAGTAGGTGCTGGGCAAATGGCCCGACATTGCCCACGCATGCCATCCAAAGTGCGCTGGCCTTTCCATCGTACGTTCTGACCAATCCCCGTATGGTTTCCAGCAGCTGCGCGTCATATTTCTCCAGGAGGCGCACGAGGCCGCAGGGAATCTTGTACTTCTCCGTCTGCGCCGTCGACCATTCTGCCGTATCAAAGAACACCACCCGTGGTATATCCCTTGACAGCGGGTCTCGCCCAACGTTGCTTACCGTTATATCCGATAGAGCAATATGCTGCATGGCCAACCAGGACGTCAGCGCAACCAGGTAAAACAGGGACTGTTTCAGTACCCCTGTTTCATGGCGGTGCTCTTGCAGCCACGGATTGAACAGTTCTGCTCTTCGGATGATACTTCCATAAAGGAAGTGGTGGCAGTGACCCTCCACCTCCTCGTCGAAAAGGACTCCAATCCATCCTGCCCACAGGGTCCTGGTGACCAGGGTGGGGAATTGTTCCCCGTACCCTGCTTCGTTGCCAAAACTCTGGGGCTCTGCCGCAAGTTTCATGACCCATAGCCGATCCAGAGCATATCCTCTTCTAGTACGCCCAGCTCCTATAAAGGGAAGCGCCCTAGGCTGCTGTAAGCTTTGCCCCGTAGTTGGGTTGCTTACCATTTGGACCTCCCCGAGCCAATGGAGCGCTGTCCTTGGCCGCTGCTGGTTTTGCAGTTTATGCACCAAAAGGTGCACAGTCTTGGCTTGCCCCGTTGCTTCCTCATGTTCCATTCCCTCAGCTTCCCGCGAGGCCATGCTTTGGGCACCTGGTCCTTCTGCCAGCGTGACTGTTCGAGGCTGGTTTTCATCCTCCTCTTCATCTTCGCCCTCAGCTTGGTGCGAGGCCGCAAATACTTCTCCTCTTTCCCGTAGGCGTACCGGACCCGCAGGAGGTTCCGAAGTACTCTCCTCTTCCCAATTCCAAGGCTGTTCCGGGTGTCTGGCCTGTCGCAGCGGGGAACGGTCTCGCATGGGCTCATCCTGTTGCTTGTGCTTGCCTTTGCCTTTGCCTTTGTCCGGCCGATTCCTGAGCCAGGATGGCAGTCGGGACCCTTGTCTCCGCATCGTCGCGTCCGTCTTCCATTGCCTCATGGTTACAGACCCGCCTTGTGCAATTTAGTAGCCCACAGTTGCTTCCGCTCTTCACTGAGGTAGGTCTCCGCCTGGTAGACCCAGTCGTTCCTCGTGCGACAGCGAGCGAGACTGCGGCACGCCGCTTGTAGGTGAGTATAGCTTGCCCTCCTGGGGTCTGTTTCCAGGAACTGCTCCTCCAAAATTGGTTTCCACGAATCCTCAAATTGATTCGCACCTGGAGGGTCAATTTCTCCGGCTGCTCGTCCTCCGGCCGGTCTTTTGAGGATGAAGACGCCGTTGTTCCACCCTCAGCAATGCGAGGCCGAGGCCTCCGCTCTTTACCCTCAGCGATGCCGAAAGCCCGCGGCACCGCGAGGCCGAAAGTACACTCCCTCAGCAAGGCGAGGCCGGAAAACACCAAAGCGCTATTCCCCGTTGCGAGGCCCTCACCCTCAGCTACGAGGCCGAAAACCCTGTCTGCCTTGCACCAAAGGGCTGCGTAATTACTGCGTTCCCTCAGCTTGGCGAGGCCTAACAAACATTGACATCTTCTGCTGTGCACTGGCTTTGGGCTTAGCTTTGGCTTGTTTTCCACCAAACTGAACGCGAGGCTGTTGAAACTGTACTTGGCTCATGCTGCCTCCATTGACAAGGGTTTGCGCTTGGGTAGCCAGCTTGCCCTGGGAAGTCCGTGATTTGCACTCACCCGCCAGGCTTTTATTGCACTTCTGGCTGACCGGCGCATGTGTTCTATCACACTTTGCGCAGACCCATCAGACTCCCAAATTCACCATAGCATGGGAGGGGTGAATTCCCCACTCATCCCGCACCCTCGCCTCTGGCTGGTTGATGCAGTACTGCTCCAGCACCACCTCCAAGTTCGTGAGGGTTTGTTGTACATACAGACCGCACAGTTTGCATTTGAGGGTCAAGTTCCGGGGGTGATCACTACCCTTTTCCCATTGATGCCCACGCTCCGGGTTTTCGAGCAACTGCCAAAGCCGTTGGCGCTTATTGAGTTTGGCCTTTCCATGCTCTTTTTTGTATCCCTCAGCTTTCTGCGAGGCTTCCATCTTCTCTTTGTAATGCGCCTGGTCCAAAATGAAGGGGAAATCTTCATCTTTTCGCTTCCGCAATATGTGGGCTGCGCGTGCCCCATAAGCCAGGGAAAGTGTACGCACCACATTATCCAGCTCTTTGACACGCCTCTTGTGCGCTGGGCTGTAAGCAGCCGCCGCCACTTCGCCACATGCTTTGTCCGCCATGTCATTCGCTGCACGTCTCCATAAAGTGCCCGGGCCCATTTTTGCCAGGAATTCGTCTTCTGTTTTGTGGGAAGGGACCCATGTGGCTTTGACTCTCTTCTTCCCATTCCACACTTTGCTCCATTCCAGGTCATCTTCCGGCGGCTGTTTTTTTTGTAGTGCTTGGACTGCCGGCTTACAATCCATTGTGACATCAATCAGATCCTCCGTGTGCTCCATTAGTCTGAAAAGTGCACGGCGCTCCATGTCCACCACCGGCTGCCATGGGTAGACCAGCTCCGTAATTTGTCCGACTTTCACCAACGCACCTTTTTTCCAGGTCATAGCCACCACTGCAAGGGCTGATGTTTGCACTCTTGGGTCAATTCCTCCTGGACCTCCGCTTGCGTCAGTGGCGAAGATCAAGCCTTCCGCGTCCACTTTGGCATTTGCTGCAAAACATCCCTGGTAGCGCAGACCCAAAATATGCTCCGGCGGCTTCGGGTGCCACACCGCCGGCTTGGGCAGGAGTGCCCTGGTCCACAAACACTCCCATGGGTATTTATGGCGCAGATATTCCGGGAGCTTGAGTTCTTTGAACCCTTGTTCTTGCCAGTAAGGGCATTCTTTGAGGACATGCTCCAGAGTGGCTGGCATTTTGCAGACAGGAACTTTCGTCTGCACGCTGCGAGGCATAGCCACCCGAAGGGGCTGTGGGTTCAAGTGAAACAAAAGCTTACTAAAACTGTAGGGGTGAAACTGCCGGTAAGTTCCCCCCCTCATTCCTCGTCCTCGGTTTTGACGAACCGCTACCCTCAACCGAAGTGAGGCCGGAATGTCGTTTTAACCAAGTCGTTGCCAGTGGCTCGAAGACTTTGGCCAAGGCAAATTGCCTGTATGCTTGCACATTCTCTGTGTTGTCTCTCGGGAGGTGATCCATGCCCTCGTTCGTGGAGGCCGCTATCCCTCAACCGAAAGGAGGTCAATTCCTGTAGACCCAGATGCTCGTTCAACGAGGCTCATTGCATGTCCTCAGTGCTTCCATCCACATCCCTCAACCGTAGTGAGGCCGGACATGTCTTCCAACCAGGTCATGGCCCAAGGCTTCATGGACTCTGGTTACGGTGGTTGCCTCATGCATGCACAGGGCATACTTCCTGTGTCTTTTGCCGGGAGGTGATCCATGCCCTCGATTCTCAGAGGCCGCTATCCCTCTACCGACGGGGTGGTCAATCCCCTTAGACCGCACCATTTTTGTTTGAGGCCCAATTCTACATTGTCTCATCATCTCACCCTTGCCGGATCCATTCCCTCGATTCACACATCCCCAACACGAGCCAGGCAGGAGGACCTGGTGAAGTACCTGCCCAGACATACCCCTATTTTGGCTGGAGGACGCTAAGCGACCGAAGTCGCCGCTACGCACCGGTGACCCCACGCCCCACACCTTGAACAGGTGGCCGGTACAGGCGCCAGAAGGGGGCCGGGTAAGGTGCCGACACCCAGGTTATGCCAACCCTACCTGTGAGGGTAGTATGTACGAGGCCGCTATCCATATGTGAGATTTGACTTTCTTTCAACCCAGTCGAAGCCATCGTCCCAAAGACAGTCGGCTGGTTGTTTTGTTTGCCACCTAAACTCCATACTCTCACTTGGGAGTTGCATATTGCCCTCAACCGAAGTGAGGCCCACTCTTCGACCACGGATCGGCTGCTTGCTTGGTCCTTGTGGGCATTTCTGAAAGCAGTGACACGAAGCCTCCACGGAATACGTCCCGGCTAATCCAGGGTTCTCAGCAGCTCCGGTGTTCTCGCACTTACTAACCGTGCCTTGCTGTTCTCCCCAGTATCGCCCTGGCTTTCTCGCACTTACTCACCAGTCGACGTATTCCTCACCACAAGTTCACTGCCCATTGGGACTCGAGGCATCTTCCATTGCAATGCTGGTATCTGCCCTTTGCTGGCCTCCATGCCTGGCCAGCGTCCCTCATCCGTATTCTGGAGTGTGCTCTTTTATCCATGTCTCACATTCCCTCAGACCTAAGTCGAGGCCGAATGTTTGCTGTTTGATTGAGCACTGCTGGGCTGCGGTTGTCTTCTATCAATTGCTCCGACACACCGGCACCGCGGAGTCTATGCTTCAAGCTGCTTAACCGCTTTGCGCCCAGTAGCATCAGCCGTCCAAGCTGCGTGCAGCGCTTCCAGAGTCTCCAAGACTCAGGCAGACCAATTCAGTGCCCGGCCTGCCCATTCCTTGTCATGCTCGCATTATCAGTCCCTCTGGTGCCCATGCGGCATCTTTTGCAGGAACTGCTTGTCATTATTCTTCCCTCAGCTGATGCGAGGCCGGAACATCATGCACCGTTCTTCATCAGCGAGGCGTTTTCGCAACCCTTCTGTTGTTCCCTCAGCCGTGGCGAGGCCGAACCATCCATTCCCTCAGCCGAGGCGAGGCCGAACCTTTGCTCCAGCATAGCGAGGCCGAAACTGCGCTGGCATAGCCTCACATGGCATCTCCGCTGGTAACGGGTTCTGAAAGCGTTGTGATGCGAGGGTATATTCACCCTCATTCCGGCAAGCTAAGCCTGCATTCGGGTTTGCCCTCACATGGCCCTTAATGGCGAGGCTGTGCTCGCAATTCAATCCACTTGCCTGGTTACTGGCCGGCGACGTTTCATCACCTCAAAGGAGCATCCATTCCTCGTCATCTTCCGACAAGGCCAGCATCCTTCTCGACACATCAGGGCCATACACCATAATCACCAGCCTACCCAGGTACCTGATTACGCGTCCGCTGCCATCAGTCATCAGGGATGGGTTTGTGGGATCGACATAGAAATCGATGTTCCAAAGCCTCGCATCTTCACAGCATCGGAAGTTCCGGAGCTGCAGGTGGAGGTTAGCTGCATTCAGGCTTCTTTGGACATTCCAATTCCCACAGCTGCCCCAGGCTATGTTGCCTCTCCTGGTGCGACGGACAAAGTGGATACGATATGACTGCGACAGTTCCAGGAAGAGCCCTTCACGACGCCCCTGGTGTGACCATGCAAATACACAGCAAGCAATTGCCGGCATGGTCCGTCGCTCTCCGTCTGCCTTGCAGCAAGTCTCTTTGGCGTGTGGCACACTGTCCAGGGCACAGTGGACGGCCACTCTGCTCGCCGATAGCTTGCGAACGGAAATCTGGGGTTGAGACGGGGCCCTGTTCCTACCGGAAGTTAAGGCCTCGGAACCCGATTCGCTCGCTCAGTTCTGCTATCTTCTCACTCCTCCTCACAAGGAGGTATTTCCCTTAACCGTAGTGAGGCCGAACTATGTTGTCCCTCCAAGTTCCCTCAGCACTCGGCGAGGCCGTACACAGGCAGCTATGTGGCTGGCAGAACTACCGAGCAAACACAGTGGTTTCGGTTTGAGTCCTGTTGGAGCCCACCCTTAGGTACAGCCTCCAGGCCACCGATCCGCTCACTACCTGCGCACCCCACCGGGGGGTTGAGCCGAGACTTGAGCCAGACAGGAACTTTCGTCTGCACGCTGCAAGGCGTAGCCACCCGAAGGGGCTGAGGTAAGAGGGTGAAACATACAAACTCTGCACAGTGAGACTACCGGTACTAGCCCTCACTTTCCCTCAGACATTTGTCGAGGCCGAAATCCATTCCCTCAGACCGTGGTCGAGGCCGAAATTCCCTCAGGTCATGCCGAGGCCGAATTTCCCTCATTTATCAGCACCCCTCAGACCGTAGTCGAGGCCGAAAACTCCCTCAGGCAAGCACGCCGAGGCGAGTAGTCCCTTGAGTTGGTTCTGGTGCTTCTCAGACCACCGGCCGTGTTTCCTGTCTGGAGCTGTGCTGCTCACTCATCAGCTTCATCATACGGCATGCCCAAAGTGATTTTCTGGACCTCTTCTGCCGGCACTGCAAGCAGGATTCCGTCCCATCCTCGTTTTGCAATCCCGGCTTCAAGTAGGTGCTGGGCAAATGGCCCGACATTGCCCACGCATGCCATCCAAAGCGCGCTGGCCTTTCCGTCGTACGTTCTGACCAATCCCCGTATGGTTTCCAGCAGCTCCACGTCATATTTCTCCAGGAGGCGTACGAGGCCGCAGGGAATCTTGTACTTCTCGGTTTGCGCCGTCGACCACTAGACAGGAACTTTCGTCTGCACGCTGCGAGGCGTAGCCACCCGAAGGGGCTGTGGGTTCAAGTGAAACAAAAGCTTACTAAAACTGTGGGGTGAAACTGCCGGTAAGTTCCCCCTCTCATTCCTTGTCCTCGGTTTTGACGTACCGCTACCCTCAACCGAAGTGAGGCCGGAATGTCGTTTTGACCAAGTCGTTGCCAGTGGCTCGAAGACTTTGGCCAAGGCAAATTGCCTGTATGCTTGCACATTCTCTGTGTTGTCTATTCGGGAGGTGATCCATGCCTTCGTTCGTGGAGGCCGCTATCCCTCAACCGAATGGAGGTCAATTCCTGTAGACCCAGATGCTCGTACTACGATTCTCATTGCATGTCCTCAGTGCTTCCATCCACACCCCTCAACCGTAGTGAGGCCGGACATGTCTTCAAACCAGGTCATGGCCCAAGGCTTCATGGACTCTGGTTACGGTGGCTGCCTCTTGCATGCACAGGGCATACTTCCTGTCGCTTTTGCCGGGAGGTGATCCATGCCCTCCGATTCTCAGAGGCCGCTATCCCTCTACCAGCGGGGTGGTCAATCCCCATAGACCGTTCCGATTGAGGCCCAATTCTGCACTTTCTCGTCATCTCACCTTGACGGATCCACGCCCTCGATTCACACATCTCCAACACGAGCCAAGCAGGAGGACCAGGTGAAGTACCTGCCCAAACATACCCCTTTTTAGGCTGGAGGACGCTAAGCGACCGAAATCGCCGCTACGCACCGGTGACCCCACGCCACACACCTTCAACAGGTGGCCGGTACAGGCGCCTGACAGGGGGCCGGGCAAGGTGCCGACTACCAGGTCAAACCCACCCTCCTGTGAGGGTATTATGTACGAGGCCGCTATCCATTGTGAGACTTGACTTTCTCCAATCCAGCCGTAGCCATTCAGCTGGTTCTTTGGTTTGCCACCAAAACTCCATACTCTCACTTGGGGGTCGATTACCCTCAACCGAAGTGAGGCCCACTCTGCTACCACGGATTAGCTGCTTGCTTGGTCCTTGTGGGCATTGCTGAAAGCAGTGACATCGACGCCTCCACGGAATACGTCCCGGCTAATCCAGGGTTCTCAGCAGCTCCGGTGTTCTCGCACTTACTAACCGTGCCTTGCTGTTCTCCCCAGAATCGCCCTGGCTTTCTCGCGCTTACTCCCCAGTCGACATATTCCTCGCCACAAAGTTCACTGCCCATTGGGACTCGAGGCTTCTCCATTGCAATGCTGGTATCTGCCTTTTGCTGGCCTCCATGCCTGGCCAGTGTCCCTCATCCATATTCTGGAGTTTGCTCTTTTATCCATAGCTCACATTCCCTCAGACCAAAGTCGAGGCCGAATGATTGCTTTGTTTGATTGAGCAGCACCGCGGAGTCTATGCTTCAAGCTGCTTGACCGCTTTGCGCCCAGTAGCATCAGCATTCAAGCTGCATGCAGTGCTTCCAGAGTCTCCAAGACTCAATTCCGGCAGACCAATCAGTGCCCGGCCTGCCCATTCCATCATTTTCCCTCAGCTGATGCGAGGCCGGAACATCATGCACCGTTCTTCCTCAGCGAGGCGTTTTCGCAACCCTTCTGTTGTTCCCTCAGCCGTGGCGAGGCCGAACCGTCCGTTC